CAATTATTGAACATAATTGAAGGTAATGAAACTAGTTTTATGCGCACCATCCAGCCTCTCAACACACCATACAGGCGCCAGTCTTTGTGTCTTTTCAGTGGAGGTAACATTTTGCTTGAGACTCTCTTCAACTAAACGCTTTTTTTCTGTCTTTACAAGCAAATTATTGGTCATTTTGAAATATATTTTACATATTGACAATATATAATGCAGTGCAGTGTTGATTTAAAGAAAATAATCTTGAAATACACCAAGAGAACTAAAATTTTATGGGTGAAATGGTGCCAGGTGTGCCTTCTACCAATGCCTTCTCTTCTTCCTTCTCCTCCACCCCCATTCTAATTCCCATCATCATCATCATCATCATCATCATCATCATCATCATCGAGGCCTTCTCATACACACCTCAAAGTAGTGAACTTTTCTCCATTTTTGTTGAATTTAGGCAATTTTCGGTGAGCTGTAACCAATACCCCAAAACCCATTGAAACAATGGTTTTAGGTTAACGAACAACAACCTGCTGGAACGGATTGTGTTAGTTAACGAGGAACCAGTAACCAATATATATATATATATATATATATATATATATATATATATATATATATATATATATATATATATATATATATATATATATATATATATATATATACACACACACACACACACACACACACACACACACACACACAGTATTACCTTGCCTACTGGTTTCACTTAACGCGTTTTATCATATACGCGGTGCCTCGCCAGAGCTGAACTTTCACTTAACACGGATTTTTTCCACATATACGCGGTGAGTGTCCGGCTCGAGACGCTATTTTTAGATTTGCTCCACCCGCCACCCTGCCTGACTGCCTGTTTTAGCTCATAAAATTCATACAAATTACCCGGCCAGAATATAATTTACATTGCTGGAATTCTTATAATTTGGTGATCATTTTGAATATAAACATCATATATTTTGCATTAGACATACAAATTTTAGATAAAATTTTTTCTCTAAGTAACTATGTTATCTTTTGTGCAAAATATATGACATTTATATTCAAAATATTCCTGGTCTTACAAGGAATCCAGCAATGTCAATTATATTATCCTAACTTTAGTTTGAGGTATTATTTATTACAAAAAAGTTAAGTATTCTGGTTTTCCCACACATCTCCTTGGGATGGTTGGTGGAGGGAGGGACCGACCGACCATCTGTTTCCCTGTGAAGAATATTTTTTTTTTTTATTAACTGGAGATATTTGTTTTAGCTCATAAAATTCATACAAATTACCCGGTCAGAATATAATTTACATTGCTGGAATTCTTATAATTTGATGATCATTTTGAATATAAACATCATATATTTTGCATTAGACATACAAATTTTAGATAAAATGTTTAATCTGAGTAAGAATGTTATCTTTTGTGCAAAATATATGACATTTATATTCAAAATATTCCTGGTCTTACAAGGAATCCAGCAATGTCAATTGTAGTATCCTAACTTTAATCTGAGGTATTATTTAATACAAAATGTTAAAATTTATTTTTTTCACCCTACATCTCTTGAAGGGACGATTGGTGGGGGGTGGGGGGGAGGGTTGGGACTGACCGTGCGGTTGGAAGAGGGGGGAGGGCAAGGTGGGGTACTTTGATTGACAGATAGTGTCCTGAAGATTATTTTTTTTTTAATAACTGAAGATATTTGTTTTAGCTCATAAAATTCATACAAATTACCCGGTCAGAATATAATTTACATTGCTGGAATTCTTATAATTTGGTGATCATTTTGAATATAAACATCATATATTTTGCATTAGACATACAAATTTTAGAAAATTTTTTTTGTCTGGGTAACTATGTTATCTTTTGTGCAAACTATATGACATTTATATTCAAAATATTCCTGGTCTTACAAGGAATCCAGCAATGTCAATTGTATTATCCTAACTTTAGTTTGAGGTATTATTTATTAAAATTTAGTGGTTTCCCCCAAAAATTTCTCAGAGAGGGAAGAGCTGGCAGTGTAGTGTGAGAAGAGGGGGAGGGAGTTGAGTCCATTATTTGAATGGACATTAACTTGGCGACTGTATTTCTCTATTTCTCTTAAGTATTAATTGTGTGCATGTACCATCATAAAATTAAGATGTTATTTTTACTACAACATAGTTATGTGTCTTCAAAAAGTGGAGTTTGGGGGTCGGGCCGGTTTCTATTGGAATTAATCCCATATGTTCTGTTGTTCACTTAACGCGGATTTCACTTAACACGGGACCCTCTGGGTTCTATTGACCGCGTTAAGTGGGGTACAACTGTATACACATATACATATACATACACAGTCAACTCGCCACGCGGTCCCACATACCGCTGCTTCCCCATTTACGTACTTCTGCTGAAACTGAATGCTCACATTCTCCGGTGCGCGGTACCCCTTTACGGAGTGAAGTATAATTTTTTAATTAGCTCATAAAATTCATACAAATTACCCGGCCAGAATATAATTTATATTGCTGGAAGTCTTATAATTTGGTGATCATTTTGAATATAAACATCATATTTTTGCATTAGACATACAAATTTTAGATAAAAAATTTTCTCAGAGTAACTATGTTATCTTTTGTGCAAAATATATGACATTTATATTCAAAATATTCCTGGTCTTACAAGGAATCCAGCAATGTCAATTATATTATCCTAACTTTAGTTTGAGGTATTATTTATTACAAAAAAGTTAAGTATTCTGGTTTCCCCACACATCTCCTTGGGACGGTTGGTGGGGGGTGGGGGGGAGGGAGGGACCGACCGACCATCTGTTACCCCGTGAAGAATATTTTTTTTTTTTTATTAACTGAAGATATTTGTTTTAGCTCATAAAATTCATACAAATTACCCAGTCAGAATATAATTTACATTGCTGGAATTCTTATAATTAGATCATTTTGAATATAAACATCATATATTTTGCATTAGACATACAAATTTTAGATAAAAAAAATTTCTGAGTAACTATGTTATCTTTTTTGCAAAATATATGACATTTATATTCAAAAGAGTCTTGGTCTTACAAGGAATCCAGCAATGTCAATTGTGGCTATCCTCTAACTTTAGTTTGAGGTATTATTTATTAAAATTCTAGTGGTTTTCCCCTCAAAAATTTCTCAGAGAGGGAAGAGCCAGCGAGTGTAGTGTGAGAGAGGGAGGGAGTTGAGTCCATTATTTGAATGGACATTAACTTGGCGACTGTATTTCTCTTAAGTATTAATTGTGTGCATGTACCATCATAATATTAAGATGTTATTTTTACTACAACATAGGTATGTGCCTTCAAAAAGTGGAGTTTGGGGGTCAGGCCGGTTTCTATTGGAATTAATCCCATATGTTCTGTTGTTCACTTAACGCGGATTTCACTTAACACGGGACCCTCTGGGTTCAATTGACCGCGTTAAGTGGGGTACAACTGTAAATATATATATATATATATATATATATATATATATATATATATATATATATATATATATAGTGATATATATATATATATACATATATATATACAGTATATAATATATATATATATATATATATATATATATATATATATATATATATATATATATATATATATATATATATATATATATATATATATATATATAGTATATAATATATATATATATATATATATATATATATATATATATATATATATATATATATATACACACACAGTCAACCTCACTTTTACGAGTGCGTGAACCCCATTACGCGAGAGTGTCCGCG